ATTTCTATTAATTTTCTTCGGAAAAGTCAATCGCAGCGATAATCAACAAGGGGTCGAACTTTTAAGCGGAATTATCACTACTACGAATTTTTACTGAGTTACTCAATATCATATTATGGTAAACAGCAAAAAGAAGATTAGGTTGGGATCATATGGTTACGGTAGGAAAAGACAACACGAACGAAGTACTTATACTAACATCGTGATGTAAGATTATAAGGTTTAATTGAAATGGGTTTAACAACAGTACCTATCTAATGGCGATACATAGAAGTGATGTTTTAAAAAATTGGATAATAACCCGAATTGTCTCTAACTTGAATATAACTGATTGCAATCAAGAAAGGAAAGCTTAACTATTTGTTTGTTGTTTCGATGAATAATATAACCTGTAAAATCTTGGACAGTAACCATTTCTGTTTCTTTTGAAGTAATTTTGAAAGTTGGTCAGCGAATATTAGATAGTTTCACTATACTTAAGGAGAAAAGATTCGAATTAAGAAAAACTTCTGCTTTGTCATCACATTTCTTAACTTTTGTTTCGATGACATCACTTTTACGTATATTAACTAATATTAATTCCATCACCAATAAACCTTACAATGTCAGATCACAAATATAAGTACGGTGAATTTCGCGTATAACGACGACGAAGGAACCACTGTAATTTCGTCGTTATATCCCGAAGTCGTTACAGGCAAAGGTAAAGAGATAGATATACGTATGTATAGTTTTGACCATTTATCAATTTTGAAACGAGTTTTACATTTTTTTAACAGTTAAGTGCATCTAGGAGTCATATTTATTCAAAAGATTACTAAATACGGTTGCTACTCAGAATATCACTTTGTAACTGAACCATTTTAACGTACACACTTAGAACAACTATAAATAAACGGTAAAGGTGACCATCTATGTGGACGTAAACAAAGGATAAGAAAGCCCTTTGTGTCATTAGCGGCCGACTAAGATCGCTATATCTGCACTAAGAATCTGTTACAAATGATTCATTAAAAACAGTTGCTACATCCGATGTCGCTATAGCCACATGAATTTCACACTAAACTGTGCTTTAAGTTCAAGGGACTTAGATTGAAGGTCGTTATAGCAAAATGGTCGCTATAACCAAGGGGCAGTTTACAGTAAACCCCCACTCGAATTTCAAATTACAGAAATGGAAAAATTTGTGTCAAAAAATTCAAAAATGATGTGAAGCAATACGTTTATCATAGAAACAAAAAACTGTTTGTATTAGAAAAGATTTTGAGATATGGAAATTCCAGTTACGGAAGTTTCACTTACTGTATTCTGAAATCATGCAATCTTTCTTAATAATGGTTTACTTAAGTAATTATTTACACTTTGTAGTTTCTGTAGATCGTGAAATTGCAATTTGAAGCCTCTTAGGTACGGTACAAAACATTAAGTGATGCAACATTAAAACCATTTCCGAGTTCATTTGGCAGTAAAAAACACTGTAATAATCCGTATATTACCAACGTTATTTTATCTGTTTATTAAACGCTGTAATTACGTGTTGGTTTAATAGTGTAATATCCTTTTTAATACTATTCTTCATTGTCTAAAGGTTATATTTTTATGTTATGCAATTAAAGAGCTGGCAGGAAATTTGTACTAAATCAGGAAATCACAAATCATCTAGAAAAAATAAAAAAGTTCCTTTATCGTATACATAATATTATTAACTTCTATGTTGCGATTAAAAATTTGTACATTTTTTATTAATGATTTACTCTAAATTTATTGAGGTATGAAAATTACAATATAGACTACGTCTGATAAAAAAGGTTTCTCCGATTGATTGGGATGGGAAAGATGAGATAGATACTTGTCTAAGTGATTCAAGGATACTACAAAAAAACTTGCACCAGGCCAGACGGAGGACTCGGAATCGAACTGGTGTCCGTCCGAATGCTGAGGAAATCAACGCGAGCGAAATTGTGAAATTTTGTATACACATTGCCAGAGGTATAGAAAAGGACACAGGATACCGTTTAACCAAGAAAATGTACTGTTCCTGAGAGATAGAAAAATTAGTTTTATGTGGTCGACGATGATTTTTGACATATATTTAGGACATCAACGCCAGCAAAACCGCTGGTTAAATCAATCTTGACTATACATATTGCCAGAGGTACAGAAAAGGACACAGGGTACCTTTTAACCAGAAAAAGGTACTGTTCCCGAGAGATATAAAAATTAGTTTTATCTGGCCGACGATGATCTTTAACATATATGTAGGACATCAACGCGAGCGAAGCCCGTGGTTAAATCTATCATGACTATACATATTGCCAGAGGTACAGAAAAGGACACAGGGTACCTTTTAACCAGAAAAAGGTACTGTTCCCGAGAGATATAACAATTAGTTTTATGTGGCCGACGATGATCTTTAACATATATGTAGGACATCAACGCGAGCGAAGCCGCTGGTTAAATCTATCATGACTATACATATTGTCGGAGGTACAGAAAAGGACACAGGGTACCTTTAAACCAGAAAAGGGTACTGTTCCCGAGAGATATGAAAATTAGTTTTATGTGGCCGACGATGATCTTTAACCAGAAAAAGGTACTGTTCCAGTTTTATGTGGCCGACGATGATCTTTAACATATATGTAGGACATCAACGCGAGCGAAGCCGCTGGTTAAATCTATCATGACTATACATATTGTCGGAGGTACAGAAAAGGACACAGGGTACCTTTAAACCAGAAAAGGGTACTGTTCCCGAGAGATATGAAAATTAGTTTTATGTGGCCGATGATGATCTTGAACATATATGTAGGACATCAACGTGAGCGAAGCCGCTGGTTAAATCTATCATGACTATACATATTGTCAGAGGTACAGAAAAGGACACAGGGTACCTTTTAACCAGAAAAAGGTACTGTTCCCGAGAGATATGAAAATTAGTTTTATGTGGCCGACGATGATCTTTAACATATATGTAGGACATCAACGCGAGCGAAGCCGCTGTTTAAATCTATCATGACTATACATGTTGTCAGAGGTACAGAAAAGGACACAGGGTATCTTTTAACCAGAAAAAGGTACTGTTCCCGAGAGATATAAAAATTAGTCTTATGTGGCCGACGATGATCTTTAACATATATGTAGGACATTAACGCGAGCGAAGCCGCTGGTTAAATCTATCATGACTATACATATTGTCAGAGGTACAGAAAAGGACACAGGGTAGCTTTTAACCAGAAAAAGGTACTGTTCCCGAGAGATATAAAAATTAGTTTTATGTGGCCGACGATGATCTTTAACATATATGTAGGACATCAACGCGAGCGAAGCCGCTGGTTAAATCTATCATGACTATACATATTGTCAGAGGTACAGAAAAGGACACAGGGTACCTTTTAATCAGAAAAAGGTACTGTTCCCGAGAGATATAAAAATTAGTTTTATGTGGCCGACGATGATCTTTAAGATATATGTAGGACATCAACGCGAGCGAAGCCGCTGGTTAAATCTATCATGACTATACATATTGCCAGAGGTACAGAAAAGGACACAGGGTACCTTTTAACCAGAAAAAAGGTACTGTTCCTGAGAGATATAAAAATTAGTTTTATGTGGTCGACAATGAGCTTTAACATATATGTAGGACATCAACGCGAGCGAAGCCGCTGATTAAATCTATCATGACTATACACATTGCCAGAGGTACAGAAAAGGACACAGGGTACCTTTTAACCAGAAAAGAGGTACTGTTCCCGAGAGATATAAAAATTAGTTTTGCGTGGTCGACGATGATTTTTAACATGTGTGTTTTAGGATATCAAAGCGAGCAAAGCCACTGGTAAACGAGTTGTTTATAAACAATTATCTAGTCAAAGTTTTGAATTCTTTCGTCCTGAAAAGGCGAACCGCGATTAAAATTAGAATAGTGATTACATTGGTTCATAAAATTAAATTTTGCATTACACGGTTTGTACAGAACATTCTTTAAGTACTTAAATTTACATTAAACGGTAAGAAACAATAAACTGTTTGTAAAAAGTCTTATAGTTGCAATAAAATTACCTACGTGTTATGTACTGTTTTAGTTCATTAAATCGTTTTAAATATGTAAACACAAAATGGGCTATTTATAGCATAAATAGAACTGGAAAATTTGACACTGAATTAAGGAATTTAATGGTAGTAGATATGATTGTCGTAAACAACCTTGAAATGATAAAAGCGTATATGACTGACAATTACTTGCGATGGTTTCGTCTTAACTTCTTACGTGTTACATGATATTGACCGCCAACGGAGAATAAACACGTCGCCGCATGGCATTGCTTAGCTTCCTATTGCATGGGTTTGAAATTGTACCTTGTCACCTAGTTGTTTGTTGAATGCTTAAAAAAAATCATTAAGTTGTACTTTCTCTACTTACGGTATATCAGCACAGTTAAATTGCATTTTTATATTAGTCGTAGGTTTCACATTAATAAGCTGAAGACTGCAAACTTAATAGCAATCCACTAATTGTATGAGCAAAATTTATCAAGTTTTGAAAATTGTTACCTAACGCAAACCTTGACTTCCCTCACGTAACAGAACCGACTGGGCACTCCTTCCCTCAGTTTATGTGACGTAATGTATGAAATGGTATATTCATGTGGTGGCAGAAATCGCAGTCTCCTTCATCGCATATACTTACCTACCACTTTTGAATTAAAAAAAATTACTTATGATATAATAATAATATAAATAAAACATGAAAGTATCTAAATATAGACAGACTTCTCAAGTAATTTCAAAAAATTTGTCCTCAGTAAATTAACAACTAGAGATAGTTTAAGTATTTTTCTTAAGGCACTAGAAACACTACTGTTAGCAGAAAATATTACTAGATGGCAATATACTGTCTACAGTATGGAACTAACAACTGTTTTAGTTAAAAAATAAAGAAAGAATGCTGAAATTAGAGAGAAAGAAATGTGAAAGTACCAAGAAAATTTCCTTGATTTAAGGCTGAACTTCAATCAAGAGCTCACAGACATCGGCATGTACGAAGAACGCATTCAGATTTAGGAGGTCAAAGGTTATTTCAGTGGGATCCCAGGTCATCGTATCGTCGGCTAATGTCGTCTCCAAATCCCCTTAGAAAAAGGCCGTTGAGGATGAGTCCCTCCAAGAAGCCTCCCGACGCTCCAGACGGTGTTCAGTTACGAAGTTACCATCATCGAAGTCAACTTAGACGATCTCTTAGTCAACCCGTAGATATCGACAAATTATCGCCACTTATGAGAACAAAGACTGCAGGTTTGTGCGCTTTATTCAGACTTTAAACGAAAAATCATTGCTAAGTACGTGTGTAATTTATTTTTCCGTCAGGATTAAGGTTGGCTGGAGCTGGCGTCTTTAGTGAAGACGAACAAGATTGCAGATTGGGAACGTCTGAAGACGAGATGTTATCCGATTCCGAATCTTCTTTAAATTCTCTCCACGAACGTAAAAAGTCTTTAGAATTAGCGATGGATGAGAATGTCGTCATTTTGGCCGAAGCTGTGTTCGATCACGTCGCCATTGAATCCGAGGAACTGGCATTTAGAGCTGGAGATGTTATCGAAGTTCTTGAAACGGTTAATAGGGATTGGTGGTGGGGTAGTGCCAACGGAAAAGAAGGTAAGTTTTAATGGAAATACATTTTTTAAACGTTCTACTTTCAACTCCTTCTTGACTGTTTGCCTATTGAATGTTTCACACTTTAAATACGAGAATTTGTAGAATTTCTGTCCATGAATTGTACTGACTACAAAACTCACTGACCTCCAATTCTATTAAACCAGTTGCCCTTTAAATCCAGAAACTAAAATCGATTTCGTAATTAAAATAAATTTAAAAATTAATTCGGTATCTAAAAGTCATTGTTTTTGTTTAATCAAGTATTCATCTTTCTAATCTGCAACCCGACCTATTACGTTTATTTTATCTGAAAAGAAAAATATTTTCTCATTCAAATTCTAAATTGATAGATGAACACACCATTCCTTTAATATTTAGTCCTCATCCCATTCTTTCCAGGCTGGTTTCCTGCAGCATTCGTCCGTCTTCGTGTCAGCCAGGAAGACACCGTCGAAGATTGTCTTGCAGCAATGGTTTCTGGCCGATCTGTGCCGTCTAGTGTTAAGCGTAGGACTAGTGTGTCCCTTTTATCCAACGATCAGGTTAGGACTAGTGTTGTTCGTGAGTTAGTGCATACGGAACGGGATTTCGTAAAGGTCCTTCAGGACGTGGTGGAAGGCTATATCGCGGAATGTCGCAAACGCAAAGACATGTTCACCAAAGATCAGATAGACACCATTTTCAGTAATCTAGAAGAGATTCTCAAGTTTCAAACGGGATTCCTCAAGGACTTGGAATCGTGTATAGACTGGGAGAATCCATACAAGAGCTGCGTTGGAAAATGTTTTATAAAGCACAAAGCAGGTTTCGAAATGTATTCGGATTACTGTAACAGTCATCCCCTAGCGTCCGCCACGTTGCAGGAACTGTGCCAATTTAACAGTTACAGTAAATTTTTTGAAGCTTGTCGACTTATGCGTGGACTGATAGAAATTCCTTTAGACGGATACCTGCTCACTCCCGTTCAAAGGATTTGCAAGTATCCTTTGCAGCTTGCCGAGTTACTAAAATACACTAGGGGAGACCATCCGGATTATAGCGACATAAGTGAAGCACTCGACACCATGAGGAGTGTTGCAGTACTGATAAATGAAAGAAAGAGGAGGATGGAAAGCTTGGAGAAAATTGCAGCGTGGCAGCAGAGAGTCGAAGCATGGGAGGTAAATTAGAAATAAATACATGCACAAATAAAAATACGTTTAACATCAATTTTGTTGGCAATTAGGGTGAAGATTTGATAGAAGGCAGTTCACAATTAATACACCAAGGAGAAGTTGTTAGAGTCACCACTGGAATGTGGACCAGCAACATCACCTTATTCCTCTTTGATCATCAACTGGTGTATTGCAAAAAGGTACCACCACACTACTAGCTTTTGTTAGAATTTTAAATAATAATATTAATTGTTCATACAGGACATTTTGAAGAGAAACACCTTTGTCTACAAAGGGCGTATAGATTTAGACACCAGTGAAGTTATCGACGTTCCGGATGGCAAAGGTAAGCAAAATAAATTCCATCTGAGAAATACGAAAGCCAATTTTTTGCCTCTTGTGGAAATTTTAGACGTACAGATTGGCGTGACCGTTAGGCATAGCATCAGAATTCACAGCTGCATCCGCGACAAGTGGTTGATGTTTTGTTGTCGTTCGGCGGCCGAAAAACAGCAGTGGTTGAAAGCTTTTGCCAAAGAGCGTAGATTTGTGGCGCAAGACAAATCTGAAGGGCTAGAACTCCATTCGACAGCTAAACAACTCGCCAAGGCAGCTGCGCGATCTCAACGAAGGCCTCCGAGGAAACCCAGAGGTATGACAACAATTTCATTTTTATTAACATTTTGTTTCCGGTCCATTTTCTCTTTTTATTTTGACTCCCATGTTCATCAAAATCTTTTTACTTGGATACTATTTTTGATTTGATTGCTTGTAGGATCATAAGGTTATGATAGGAAAACGCAACACGAACTTCTAGTAGTAAATTAATTTCCATATTATATTTCTAAATCGCAAGAAAAATTTGGCACTTTCTTGGCCCCAATTTTCTATTTCTATTTCACATTTATTTCCATTCCCTGTTTCTTGTTTTTCATGTACGATTTTGTTTCCATCATGTCTTCATTTTCATCTTCATCTTTATCGTGATCTACAACTAATAATTGTTTCTATGTTCTTCATCAATTTTTTTGTTTAGCAATAGGTATTTCTATTTTTTTGTTCCATTTCGTTCTTTGAAAATGTTTCAATTTTTTCTTTGACTCCTTTTTTCCTTTATTTGGTTGAAGACTCTCACTTTTCACATCAGCACTTGTGTACGAACTTCTCTTGGTCATCTGGTCAAATTGTTGATTGTAGGTAGCAAGAATTCGGCCTACATGGGCTCTGCACTTCAAATTTCCGCACAAAATTCGAATAACGCTTATTCCTTGAGCCGGAAAGTGGGGACGTGGTTCACTTTTGGAGTAAACCGGAAAATACGTTACCAACAGAGGGACGTTTCCTGAGATAAGACAACCTTGCTGTAGCCCGTATGCATGTAAGTTAACGTTTTGAAGTTCCTTATTAATAACATATCGGCTGCAGCAATAATAACTCTTCAGAGCGAAGTCAAAAATTGACTTTGAGATAAAGTAACTCATTGTTGATTTTCTATCAAAAGTAGTGATTAAAACTCTCACACACTTTCGAATAATGATTTTTAGTCTGTTTGGAATCAAAGCACCAAGGGGTGATGATTTTTATCTTGTAACATGTGATTTTACAAAGTGATATTATGATGGTCTCGTTTTGAATTTAATTTTAATTTTATTATACCATTTTTGACAACGCTCTGAAAGTTACAACTGTGTTGTTCGTAAATTTTTGTTAGTGATATTGGCTACTGCCGTATGTGATGTTACTTAGAATTTAAGAAAAAAATTAGTTGAAAGGTCTAATTTTTCTCTCGTAGTTCCGTATGCGCTCATTTCCTTCTCTCAATTGTCATACGTATTGTATCAGAACGCACAATGATGTTAAATAAATAAAAATCGCATTTGAGAACAGCACAGGGTATTTTGGGTCTATTGAACAACTTAGGCAAAATTTTAGGACCAACAAATGCAAAATACTTCACTCATTTATCTTGTCTGCTAAAAGCAATACTTAATAATGGCTTTGAATGTAATTACTTGTATATTTCACATTTTTCGAAATTTACAGGTACCGTAAATTATCTAAAGCAATAGTAGTTTTTGTTTATATAGGTACCAACTTTATATAAACTTTCAACTAATTTCCTTGACCGTTGTAGATGATTTCTTTGTGGTTTTTATTGATTATTCCAAATTTTTTGGAGTAATTATAAAGACTTAGTGGTTAGCAGAATTTGTGTTCCATTTTTTTATATGTTTACACACAGAGCAATCCATTGGGCTGGAGGGCATAGTTATTTTCCTATCTCTTTTGGCCCTCCACGACTTACAACAATTAATTTTAATACCTGTTACCTATTTTTATTCACAATAATTTCATCCATTTTCTTTTTCGTTTTTGTTCAAAATTACCATTTAAAAATCTTAATCCCTGTCTTTATCCCCATAGTTTCTCAAAACTTTGCTCTTTTGAACGTCCCATTACATTTTCCTATCAATTTAGTTTTCCTCAACCACATCCAGTATTCTTCCTTCATTATTCATTACCCCAAAAGCCCCCAGGTAACAGCTTTTCTATTTTATTACTGGTCCCACTCTTTTTGGGGAATCATTAAAGATAACACTTTCCAAAACTTCTCGAGAGTAGTTCATTTAACTTACGTCCTGTTTTCCGATTTCCTCACTTCCTTGAAAGTCCCTTTTCATTAACAGGAGAGCCCTCTCCATGTATCCGGAAACTCAATAAATCACTCTGGGTGTAAAAGTGCAACAAAGCGGGATGCACCATTGCTTTGTTTATATGTTTGCTCATTTTTATTTTTTAAAAAATGCCAAGTACCTCCTCTTGACCGACGTTGCGAGTAGACAGGTCCGGGGGTTGAATTATGGGTTTGGAGTGGTTAGGTAAAGGAAACGGAAATTGAGTATATGGTCTGAAGGTTGGATAAAGGGTCGATTGTTGGGGACCTGGGGATTGGAAAGGAAGTGATGGATAGAGGATGACAAGGTGAGAGTGGCAAGGGTTTGATAGATTGAGACTGGTAAAGGGTTGATAATGGGTTGGATTTGGAAGAATAATGAGAAATGAAGGGATTCAAGCTGAAGGTGGTAAGGGCTTCATAATAGTTTTGGTCCAAAAGAGTATATATATATATATAATGGGATAGGAGATGTAGGATGACTTTTGGGATGGGTCTTGGAGTAGCCATTTCAATTTTTGGGCCCGAATTGAGAGAAGTAATAAGGGGTTAATATAGAAGCTGTAAGGGTTCATGTGATTTGGAATTGAAGGTTAGAAAGTATTTTCGGGAACTCGAAAACGATGGAACAATTTAAAAACCAGAAAGTAGGTAATTGTAGGATTCAAATGAAATAGTTTTTGAAAATAATGTGATGTATTAGGTAGGCATAGTGTTCAAAGGGAATGAATGAAATTATTCAATGATTGTTGAGGAACGATTTTGGATTTGAGGTGGTTTGAAAGAGAATTTGTTTTCTAGTTTGTGCAGCACAAATAACATTAGTTAAATTTGGAAGTTAAGACCTTTTTCTTTTGATTTCAGCCGCAATTTCCCTACGTCATAGTTGATTTACTAGTTCTACGCCGCGATTGTTTATAGTTAAAATTACTATTGTTATTTATCCTATTAACTATGTTTTCTAAGAAAATGTTTTTGTTATGGTTAAATTAATGAAAGATATTGTGGAAGTTTGTTTAAAATGTACAAATGTTAATAAACGATTAAATGAAAATTTGAAAGTTGGCATTGTTATTATTTAATCCATTCTGCCTTTTAGAATAATCTAAAAGTTAAAAGTTTTCATAATCTTCATAATCCATTATGATGGAAGATGTTTTTGTGCTACACAAAACTAGTAAAAGAAGACAGGGATGGTAATATCACCCCCGGACCTTGAAATTGAAGATGCACCCGCTCTATGGTAGTAAAATATTTCCCCTGTTCGGTCTTGTTTTTATTGAACTAGCGCCAGCAATTGAAATGTTGATAGGAAGCAATTTATGGGATTATTCCTGTAAAATAAAATCAATTAATGCCAATGATGTAGCTCATAAGTAGTTGTAATTATTTAAAATGTTTCGTTTAAATTATATTTTTGTAAGCTTTTCATCACGTCTGTGTATATTTAATGTAAAACACTTGTTAAATGATAATATTAATCTGTTGTAGTTTTTATTGCCAAACTGACTTGTTGATAATACTGATCTTTTTTGATTTCGCGACAACGTTGTATCATCGGTTTTGTGAGTCGCGACAATAAATTTTTAAGAAAAACTAAAGGTGTTCTAATTTATCATTTTGTAATTATAAAATATAAAATTGATAAATTTATTAGATAGAAGAGACGCTAAGGTAAGTACCAAAAGTAGTATGTACTTTATTACCCAAAATAGCTATATGTGTAGAGGTTGTTTGAGTACATCTACTGACAATTAACCCCAAAAATGGTAAAATTAATTAATTTAAAATTTTCTTGAAGCCTGAAAGAGAAAGAATTAGTGATGAGCAAAACAAGACCAAAACTGTCCTAGGTTTAGTAATTGTCTTGGTGTTGCTTATTCGGTTTTGGTCTTTGTGATTTAGCCTATGTTTTAGTCTTGGTCTTGTAGATTAAGTCTTCGTCTTTCGTGCTGATTTAATCTGATACTTACGTTTTCTTTTTAATTCTATTATTATAAAGATTATTAATGATATATAAATTAAAAATGATATATTCCGGTAGTACATTAATGAAATACAATTTTTTATTGATGTCCACGAATTTATACAGTGCAATCATAGAGCCAACTTGTAATTCAATTGATTTCAGAAACCCACCGGAAGTAGTCATTTTTTGTTCAGTCTTACGTATTTGGTCTTGGTCTTGATTTTAGTCTTGGTCTTGTTTATTCGGTCTTAGTCTTGCTAATATGAAGACAATGTTGGTCTTACATTTTCGTCAGACCAAGACTCAAGACCAACTTTGCATATCACGAGAGATTTAGTCTTACGTACTTGGTCTTGGTCTTGCTTATTCGGTCTTGATTTTAGTCTTGGTCTTGTTTGTTAGGTCTTGGTCTTGTCAATATAAAGACAGTCTCGGTCTTATTTTCGCCAGATTGATATCCAAGACTAATTTTTCGATTTTTGAAATTAATCAGCTACAGCTACTCTACTTGTCCAAATTAAGATAATTAAAAGAATTGCCCCTTAATTGCACCAATAAATAATTTTTTTATGAATATTTATTCATAAACTGAATTGTGTGTTTAGATTCTTTAGCATATTCCCCCCCCCCTTCCCGTTCTTGTAATTTCTAAATTATCGATTCAAAATGTTTTTGAATACAGGTGGCCTATAACATCAGTAATTTTATTTTAAATTGTAACGAACTGTAAATACAGTAAAAAGGATGCAACTGTAGGTATTTATTTATTATTATGCATTACGTCATCTGAGTTCGACCGAAGAAGAACGAAACGGCCTGAGGGTACCGAGCTTTTTACAGCTTTTCAGTTGTGTTAGAGCGGTGTGACAGAGTGCTGGGTTTTACATGTGGATCACAGCAACCGAAAATAGTACGCAGCTTAAAAAGAAGAAACTGAAACGGTAAGTCATTCAATGAATTGATACTTACTAATTACTGATACTGTTATTATTGTAAATGTATTAACAAATAAAATAAAATCCTTCTACGTATCACGGAGAGAAAGATCTTGAAAAAATTACCCTTGCGTGTCATAAACTGGGTGCTTTTGATTTTAAAAATTTAAAAAACTACCTTACAGGCACAGTAAAAACTCCTATGCTTTCTAGTAAAGTTTATAAAGTTCTATTACAGATATTATTCGACTAATATTGAATCATTTTTATACATGTTTCTTACACCCGCTTTATGGTTGAAGAGCGTAATTTTCCCAAGATTTTTCTCTGCGTGTACTTATGGTCAATACAATAATAAAAAGATATAAAGAACACATAATTAAAACATTAATAAGTTACAAGTTCTTTCATGGTCAACTAATTTGTAATAATTATTTTGTCGCACTGGGGCTTCTATCAATAAAAAAACTGGTAATTATTAGTGTTTCAATTGTGTGTTCTAGATATGGGGTTACAACAAGTGAATGCTTCATCCATACAATTTTTAATAAAAAAGATTTTATAAATTTACCGAAAAATAAAAGGACCTGATTAATTATTATATTAAAAATTTACTGAGTAAACATTGCAAACATTGTTTAATTGCAAAACTTTAGTCTCCGTTCTGAGCCATCAACGCCTAGACTAAACCAATGGACTTGGGTAGGTAAAATGTTACACAATTTTTTCCTTTATGATGTATACAAGGAGTAAGGAAGGATATTTTGAAGTTCAACTCCTAAGGTGGTGAAAAGAATTTGATATGTTTGTACAGGATATTTCTATTTCAGATTTCTTTGAGACTAGCCTTAATAGATTAATCGAACAAATATTTCGACATTTTAAAAAATTTCAACCTGAAGGAGCCAAAGCGGTTGCAATGTTTTATATGCGATCAGATTGAACTTGTTCTTAATTAATTTTAAAAATCAACCTTTAAGGTGTGAAATGTCGTTGCTATGTTTTTATGGGAAATATTTTATTTGTAGTCATATATATTTGAACTTGTTCTCAATGCTCATTGATAGAAGTAATTAAACGAACGTTTTTTGGCAATTTTTGAAAATTAACCTTTAAGGTGTGAAATAGGATTCCTATGTTTTTATGGGAAATGTTTCATTTTTAGTCAGATTTATTTGAAATTTGGTGTTAATGCTTTTTGACATACTTATGTAAGGAGGTACATAATAATTTAATTTTAAAAAATTTAATCTCTGAAGGGGTGAATAGGGTTTTGCTTAGTTAAGCGAGCTCATTACGGTTAGTTATTAATAAAAATAACCCTTTTTTCAGTATATCTGCCTACTTTTCAGATTTTACAAAAGTTTAAATAAAAGTGCAAATGCAAAATATTTTTTAGAGTACTTTATTTAATTTATATGTACCATGTGCCTACGTGTTTCCAAATTATTTAAACATATTTATTCTATCGTTTGTTGGTTTAAATTATTTTAAATTGAAAGTTTCATGTTCAACAACAGTAATACTCTTACAAACAAGTCTCTTATCGTATCAGTCATAACGTTCATAAAAAACCTCGTTTATTTCAGTAACTTGCTTAATATGATGTTCGACATTGTAGAGGTCAAATAAAGAGAAAGCAGATATAGACGATACAAATTACAATAATAAGTCAGTATATTGTAAACGAAATTGTCTATAGAAAAATTTAAATGTGCTCAACTATTAAAAACGACTATTTAATTATTAAATTTCGTATCCATGTCATTATAATAAAATTAAACTTATTTTCTTATTTTTGGTTTAACCATACTATAACACAGGTCTGCGAAATTTTTTTTTTGAAAAGTTTTTTTCTTAAATTGTTAGTATTTGTCGTAATTGTCTCAAAAGTAATAGAAAACGATATTCATATGGTGTATACCACGTCACATTAACCTATAAATGCTCAGAGAACACATTTCCTTTTGAACCCTTGCCACGTAATAAGTGCGACGAAAAAATATTCGGTAACCAGTGTTTCTATGTTTTTAACGATACTCTTTTCGATGGTGTTGGTTAAAAATACCTCCGACAATATTAAAGCATGGAAAGATCGAAAATAAACAAAAAAAACGTGATTTTTGAATTGACTGTTTTCTTAAAAAGTAATTTTTTGTGTCCTTACGATTTTTTATATGCTTAAAACCTATATAGATCATGACCTCAATATCTAAACATGAAATAATCACCCTTGGTCAAGTCGAAATGTCTTTACAAACTGTTTGATCAAACCAAGTTTAATGTAAAGTGGTGGAAGCAATACTTTCTTCTTTCAAACTCGTATTGATGACATTTTTCATTCCGACTTCCAA